GGAGCGGGGGAGGGCGCGGCAGCCCCGGCGCGCCCCATTCTCGGCCTGGCTTGTGCCTCGGGCCAAGCGGCGAGTCGGGCCGGCCGGCCGGCTGGCTGGCTTGAGGGAGCGATGCGATCCTCCGGAACGGCTCCTCTTCTCGGCCGGGCTCCCGTATCCTGAAAGCGGCCGGCCTCGCGCGCAGCGGCTCCGGCTGCCTGCAGCCTCGTTCCAGGATGCCGGACCAAGCGTCGGGAAACGTCCAGGCCGCCTCGGCTCGCGTGTCCTCGTTTTTCATCGCCAACCTGCTGGCGGCCCAAACGAAACGGCGGCGGCGAGAAGACGAGGAGGAAGAGGAAGAGGAGGAGGAGGAGGAGGAGAGGGAGGCCGGCCCGGGCCAGGCCCCAGAGGAGACCCCGGCGGTACCCCGCGCCCAGCCCGGCCGACCCTGCTCCCTCGCCTGCTGCCGGACCCCGGGGGGACCCCGCCTGGAGCTGAGCTCGCCGCTGCGGGAAAACGCCCTGGAGTGGTACCGGCGGGCGCGCAAGGCGTTTAGGAGCTGCGCCAGTCCGGAAAGTAAGTCCCGCACCCTGCGCCCCCGTCTCCCGCTCTCCCCGGGCCCGGCCGGGCGAGCGAGATCTGCTCCCTTCCCCACCTCCCGACGCTGCTGAAAAGCCCCCGTCGTCGGGCCGAAGAGCAGAGGCGACCCCCGGTTCGGTCTCCCGCTCCATTCCGTGGGGGCCTGGTCCTTCCCGGGAGAGAGTTCGCGGGTAGGAAAGCGGGGTCTTTTCCTGCAGCCCACACCCCGACAATCCAAATCCGCTCCCTTTGTCCCGGCTGCTTGCGGGACCGGAGCGCTGGAGACCCAAAACGGGGGTCCCGGTGCCGGAGCGCAGCCCAAGGTTCTGCGAGACTGGCTTGGAAGAGAGGTCTGGTTCTTTAGTGGGGGGAAACGGAGCTGCAGCGCCCACCGCGGGGTCCTGCGCCGGTGCCAACCCCAACTTGGGCTTGGAGAGGGTCGGGCTGCGGGCACGCGGCGGGTGTGAATTGACGGGGGTGGGTTGTTTTTTTTCCCCCGACGACTGCGGACTGACTGACCTCTTCCCTCCCCCTCTGCCCCCCTTTGCCCCCCGTTGCCCCCCGTCCCCAACCAGCCAGCGACAGGGACTCTCCGGAGATCACCGCCGAAGGAGCCCCCCAGCCGAAGGCAAGCGGCCAGCAACGCGGGACAGCCCAGCCCAAGCCCGTCGAGGAGAGCGAAGAGCCCGGCCAGGGGCGTCCCGGATCCGGTGGGGGCGTCTGCGAGAGCAAGCGGCGTCCGGAGGAGCCGGAGGAGGAGGCGGCGGCGGCGGCGGGAGGCGAGGCGCGCGGCGGCGGCGGCGGCGGCGGCGGCGGCGGGCGCAAGAAGAAAACGCGCACCGTCTTCAGCCGAAGCCAGGTGTTCCAGCTGGAGTCCACCTTCGACGTGAAGCGCTACCTGAGCAGCTCGGAGCGGGCCGGCTTGGCCGCCTCGCTGCGCCTGACCGAGACGCAGGTCAAGATCTGGTTCCAGAACCGGCGCAACAAATGGAAGCGCCAGCTGGCCGCCGATCTGGAAGCCGCGCAGCTGCCTCCTTCCACCGCCCAGAGGATCGTCCGCGTCCCGGTCTTGTACCACGACAGCTCGCTGACGGGGAGCGCCTTGGCCGCCTTGCCGCTGTCCCCCCACGGGCCGCCCCCGCCGCCCCCGCTGCTCAGCCTGGCAGGGGGAGCGGTGGCTTATCCGCTGAGCGCCTTCCCGGCGGCGGCGGCGGCGGCGGCGGCCCCGTTCTTGCGGGCGCCGGTCAGCGGCCTGGTTTAAAACCGCCCCTTTTGATCCGAAGAGAGCTGTGGCCCCTGGAGATCTTCTAGTCCAGCCCCTGCTCAAGCCGGAAGTCTACAGGATTCCAGGCAAGCGACTCTCCCAGTCTCGTCTTTAAAACCTCCACTGAGGGATGGAGCATCCACAACTTCATTCTACTGGTTCAATCAACCAACCCAAATCGAGCCGGAAGGGAGCTTGGAGGTCATCTAGTCCAACCCCACGACTCAAAAGCCGGAGACTCTATCCCATTTCAGACGGGGGGGGGCTGTTCCAGCCGGTGGTTTTGGCGGAGCCGAGAAGGGGGTGGGTGGGGAAATAATCATCTAGAATTGCCTTTGAACTCTTGCCCGTTGCGAAGACACTCGAAATACTTCAGCCTTTTATCCTGCGGGGAATTGTCTCTGGCGAGCCTTTAACTAACAAAAGCGAAATTGAGACTTAAGCCGAAGGAGTTGCTTTCCAATGGCCGACTCGGTTCTTTTTCCCAGACCACGAACCCCGCTCTTCAAAGTACAATTTCGGAACGGATAGTAGTTCGTCGCGCGTTTGTCTCTTCGCTTCGGTTGGGAAGGGCTGTCATCCCTTTAAACAAAGCATGTGCGATATTTTTTTATTTTTTATTTTTTATTTTGGGGTGGTTGTTAATTTATGATGCAAAAAGTATGTTTGGAAAAAAAGCAAAGCAACGCGAATTAAGGATTTTGGTTTATCCCCGAATTGTTCTTGAATGCTGTATTCGAATTATCCTAAAATGATACTGTATCCTACTATAGCTTAATTCTGTTTTAATTCTCGGATGAAGATAAATTTGTTCCCCTCTCCCCGATTATTGTGGGCCGTTTTGAATCGAGAAATCCTTCACAACTACATCCCGTCCAACTGATGTTAGCGTTAAAAACTTCAGTTTGGATTCTTCGGTGCGGTATAAATAGGGACTATATTGTGCATGTTTACATTTTGTTCATTTAAATATTCCTTTTTAAGGGCTAATGGGTTTAAAAAAACCATCAAATTAATCCTAACATTGGCAGCTATGCTGGAAATTCGGATGAGAAAGGGAACAAATTCGGAGACGCTATTTATAGTTAACCTCCGAGTCCTTTTCTTTCTTTTTTTTAAAAGGGCGCCAAATCCACTTGAAAACGGTTTGTTCTTTTTAAAGGAACCCGTTTATATTTGGAACAAAAACAAAACAAAACAAAACCCGGTCACCTCTGGTTAGAAATTACCAGCAGTAAAAAACGGAATGGCAAAATCGTTGGTAACGCTCTCTTTGCCTCTCTGTCTCTGTTTCTCTCTCTGTTTCTCTCTCTGTTTCTCTCTCTGTCTCTTTGTCTTTCTCTCTCTCTGTTTCTCTCTCTGTTTCTCTCTCTCAGTTTCTCTCTCAGTTTCTGTCTCTCTGTCTCTGTCTCTCTTTCTCTCTCTGTTTCTCTCTCTCTCTCTGTCTCTCTCTGTTTCTCTCTCTGTCTCTCTCTCTCTGTTTCTCCCTCTGTTTCTCCCTCTGTTTCTCTCTGTGTTTCTCTCTCTCTCTCTGTTTCTCCCTCTGTTTGTCTCTCTGTCTCTCTCTCTCTGTGTCTCTCTCTCTGTCTCTCTCTCTGTTTCTCTCTCTGTCTCTCTTTCTGTCTCTCTGTCTCTGTTTCTCTCTATTTCTCTCCCTGTGTCTCTCTGTCTCTGTTTCTCTCTCTCTCTCTCTCTCTCTCTCTTTCTTTCTGTGTCTCTCTCTATCTCCTCCTCCCTTTAGCCCTCCCCCTCCTTTCCAGCTCCAAAGTGCTTGCGCGGGGGATGCGATCCAGAGGGAGTCCCTATCCGAGGCTTTCCGTCGCCTGGATCTCTTGGCGCCCCAGATCCGCCGCCTTTGAAAGCCGGGAAGCTAATTCTCAATCCCCCCATGACTTTTCTGCCCACTCCCCCTATCGCTCTCCTGTTTCTAGCCGCAAAAGTATTTTTTTTAAAAAAACTTCTTATTTTATGGTGCTTGAGTATTCCTTTCCTGCCTCTCTCACTTTGCCATTTGGGGTTTTGATTTTAATTTTTAAAGAAAGGTTCCAGCAATAGAAAAAAAATAGAATTCTTTATTGGCCAAGTGTGATTGGACACACAAGGAATTTGTCTTTGGTGCAAACGCTCTCAGTATACATAAAAGAAAAGATAAATTCGTCAAGAGTCAAGAATCATCAGGTACAACACTTAATGATAGTCATAGGGTGGAATAGAATAGAATAGGATAGGATAGGATAGGATAGGATAGGATAGGAGAGGAGAGGAGAGGAGAGGAGAGGAGAGGAGAG